AGATAATAATAGTGTGTGTGTGTGTGTGTGTGTGTGTGTGTGTGTGTGTGTGTGAAATACGCGTGTATGATCGCGACGTACACGCTGAAGCGAAAGCTCGCGATAAAATCAACGAGCGCTCCGAATACGAATTTGTCTTCTTTATCTTCTTCTTCTTCTTCTTCTTCTTTTTTTCCTCTTCTTCCCAGTAGAAATCCTGTTTACAGTCAGTCACAGGTTGGCCGCCGCGACCACGGCGAAGCGTCCATCCGTACCTTATCGCGATACACGGCTTATCTGGGATCGACGGCGATACCTGGCTCCTTCTCCGTTTCCCTCCTCGTCGCTCCTACCCTGGTCCACTCCCTCCCACCCTCTCCCGCCCGGTGTGTACACTGGCCGATGACCGTACGTGACACGAGTTTCTATGTGCTCTCCTGTAATACTGTTTTCCCTCTGGTATACCGGCGCGCGATGACGATCGATCGGCGCGGAGGATGACTGTCGTACGCGTTATTAACGGACCGATTGACTCGCAATCGGTCGTTATTCGCGTAGAGATTCGCGAGAAGCCCGCCCGCGGATTATCGTTCGCACGCCGCCACGTTAATCGTCATATCGCACTCTCTGTATACCTAGCACCGTCGCGCTTATCCACGCGATTCCAGCGACTAGTGATAGCGAGGCTCTTGGTCACGCGCAACAACGTAGTAGTAGTCCGTCCCGACGGTTGAGAGGACGAAGATCGCCTCGAATGCTCGCTACCTCACCGCTGTCCACGTCCGTTGCTGCGTCGTCCCGCTGCTGCCCCGGGTCTCGTGCCGTTGTCGAATTGTTCTCGTGGACGTCGTCGTACGCGAGCAACGAGGCTACGATGCTAATGATAACGATACGCTGGCAATAATAGTAGTACTGCAGCACTGATACGATTGCTGTGCAACTGTCGCTGATCCACTGCGATTCGATGGTGTTGCTGTTGTTGCTGCTGCTGCTGCTGCTGCTGCTGTTGTTCCCGTGTTCCGCGCGACGACCGTAATCGCGAGACAACATCGCCGAGACAGCGTCGCTAGATAGATCCGTCGTTGATCGCCGTTTGCCACCGACGTTGTGGTAAGCTCGACCGAGCGTTTCTCGCTTCAGAGGAATCGGCCACCGTGCCACCGCCGCCGCCTTCGTCGTCGTCGTCGTCGTCGTTGTTGTCGTGATCGTCGTCGCCGCCGCCGCCGTCACCGTGCCTCTCGTTATTATCATAGTAGCGAGAGCTGCGGGGGATGTGCCGAGTCGCCGTCGCGCGTCTCTCGTGCTCGTCAGGGGAACGTGCACCACCAACGACGCCAGACACGTCGTCGCCGTCGTTCCGAGGCGCGACCGGTCACGCGCATTTCACCACGGTGCCGGGTAACGTAAGACAGAGAGAAAGAGACAAAGAGAGCAAAAAGAAAGAAAGGAGAGAGAAAGAGAGAGAGAGAGAGAGAGAGAAGGAGGGTAGGATCGAGTAAGAAAAAAAATAACAAAAAAGAAAGTA